ATGGCCTATACTGACAAGTTCTGCTGTCTACTTGAGATGGAACCTGGACCCTCCAAAAATTACATTTGTATAAGCTTTTATTTGTTCCTTAGGTTTTTTTTTTTTTCTTTTGACAAGTGGCAGAATTATCTGGGTAAGGTTTTGCCCTGAGGACACCACTCCATTTATTCCCCTTTATGTGGGACAACTCCTTAATTTTTTCTTCACAAACCAAGGTTTCAACATTTAAGTTTCATGTTGGAATATGATAAAAAAAATGATGCATGGTGAACAATGCCTTGAGTAACTGTGAGAAAGACTCTAGAAAAATAGGCAGAGGTCCTTTTACCTCAGGTGCATATTGCTCCCTGTATTGTTCTTGGACATGATTTCATGCCTCCTGTATAATGCTTACATAAATTGTTCAAGTATAATAAAACTCAGAAATCATAAATTGGGATTTAAAAAAAAACATGGCAAATCCATGGAGAAGTAGAGAGTCAATTGGCTGACCCTCTCTCCATGTTTTCCCAATCCACCAGCCTCAGAAATCCTCCAGAAATTTCCTCCTCTCTCTTCCTGTCCCTCTCTATTAGACCTCCTCAGTCTTCAAACAACTCTTTGGCTAATCCTGGTCATCCAATCATTGACTCTATCCTTTGATTCAAGGTGGCTTTATTAGCACAGTAGAGAGGCAGTATGAACAATTCTCCTACATTTCCCCTTTTTGTCTATGACTCCAGTGATTAATTAACCCATCTATCCATTCTCTTTTCAACTTTAATTGGTCAAACCTTCAACACTTACATTTAAAGGAAGGATTGTTTTAAACTTATGTCATAATAGTAAATGGTATTAGAAAGCAATTCATGTCATTGACAATTATAAGACAAAGATGTTTTTACCTGATGCATACATTGCTGGTTTTTGCCCACTGATATTGTTAATTAATTGTGACAGCTGTAGAAAAAGTATTTCAAAATACATTCAGGAATATAGGTAATCTAAATGCAATATACTATTGTGTGAGGAAAAGGTAAAGCAAAATGGCTAAGAGAAAACAAGCTGGTTTTCCAAATTCAGTCAAATAACATGGATGGAGAACAGAATTCCCTTCATTGTGCTGGAAACATGTACTCTTTCTTGAGTTAATTGGCATTAAATAACTTTTAGCTCAGTTCAAGAAAAATACTCTACAAATCCCTGAATACATCCCTTCCACTCATGTACTTCCTTCCAACAAAACAGTCATGCAAATCCCTGCCAACTTATGAGGTGGGATCTAGATGGGGTATAAATAGTGATGAGGAATACATGAATGCATGTTTTCATAAGTGACCTAAAATAATTTAAAATGTAAAGTCTTTGGTAATGGAAGGAACTGGAAAATGTGCCTCTTCCTCAAGGACAGCATTTATTTGCTTTTCCATTTGATTTGCATACATGGAAAATTGTTAAAAAAAAAAAATAGAAAGAATGACAAAGCCAACTGATAAGGACTCAAAACATCTAATTTGTCTTTTTTGGTAAAATATCAACAAGACATTACATAACAACCTTCAATACTATTTGAAAATAATGATAATGTAAATTTAATGGTTGAAGGTAAAAAATACACATGTGATAGAATCCACCAAAATTTACATGATTCTCAGAGAAGGAACTAGATAAATCTCTGTGAGGAGAGAGCATAACACCACAATTTCTGGTGTGTTCTCACCTAGAGTCTTCAATGTGTATTTTTCATTTTTTTCATTAAAAATTGCATTACTAAACATCTATTCTTAGCATTTAACTGTGTAATACTTTTTATAGTTTTTTTTAAAGGAAATTAGAGAGTGTCTTAAAGAAACTTCTACTTGATAACATTGGAGTTAAAGTGGAACCTTGTAATTTATTTTAGCATATTTCAGATTGTAATTTTATGACTAAAAGATATTGAATGGTACTGTCAATAAACACCTAATAAATATTTTTAAGTAATGAAAAATATATTTGATATCTATGGCATATTAAAAATTTATGTAATATTTTAGTAGATTTGAATTTACACTCAATTTATACATTAATTCCCAAAGAATTATTTGTGGCAAAAATTAATGATATAATCTTTGACAATATATATTTTTGTTCAGTGATTGTCAATATTTTTCAGAGATATAAATGACTCAAGTTTGACAGTAATTACTAAAAATGATGCCTCATCCTTTTTGTCCTTTTTAACATATTTTTTACTATTGAAATTAAAATCAGATGTAAAATCAAATCTATACAGTGTATGCCAAGGCATTGCCTAAACAATCCCATCATCAATTCTACATTTACTTCTGTGAAGAAAATGTAAAGTATATATCTTCCTAATTTAAAATAAAAACTCCAAATTTCAATATTGATCTGATTCAATTTAAATATTTTATCACAATATGTTGTAATATATTGTCTTTGTCTTGACTAACATAGCTCAAGATAGAGAACACTTACATCATGAAAAAAGAGAAATAAGTGTAAGTTTCTCATTATCCTTTCTTGCTCTGCTGCCTACTAATTATTCAAAACATCTTTACTTCATGCACATTTTTAAAGTCGTTTGGTTTATTACAAAATCTGCATGTGAATCAAAGACATGAAATTACCAAGAAGGGCATCTGCTTAATTGTGTCAAATTAATTTCCACATCTATAGAGTAAGTTCACTTTTTTCATAATATAAAAAAATGTATTAAGCGTCATTATATGGCACACCCTGTGCTAAACAAAATTCCATGTCTGTAGTTCTAACATAGTATTTAAGGTGTCTGCTATGATGGACAGGTCTTAGGAGAGACATTGCCAGATTGTTATTTGATACTTAACAATATTAATTAAGTGCTATAAAGAGAACTCATACGTTGTGAAATCAGAGTGTGAAATGTAACCATAAGTTTCTCTGGTCCCACCAGGCCCCATGGTCCTGCAGCCGCTTTTAAAATAATCACTCAGAGGCTTAATATTAATTGCAAATTATATGGCCTACTGGCTCAGGCTTCTCAATAGCTAGCTCTTAAAACTTAACTCAGCCTATTGCTATTAATCTATGCGTGTCCACGTGACTTGGTGGCTTATGGTACTTTCACATCTTGCTTCTCCTGGCAGCAGATCACAGTGTCTCCCCGTCTCCTTTCTTCTCTCTCTCCAGTTGGAATGTACCGCCCAACCTTATTCTACCTCACCATTGGCCAAACAGCTTTATTTATCAACCAATCAGAGCAACGCATATTCACAGCATACAGAAAGACACCCCACAGCTGTGAAACACAGATGTTTAAATTCTTTATTATTTTAAAATTTTTATTTATTTGTTTGTTTGTTTGTTTGGTTATTTTCTTGTTTGTTTGGGGGAAAAGGTTTGCCACAGTGTGTGTTTTTGTGGAGGTCAGAAAACAAATTTCAGACGTCAGTTCTTCCCTCTACCATGGAGATCCTGAATACTGAACTCTTGTTCATCAGTTTTGGTGGCAAGTGCCTGAAACCACTGAGCCATCTCATTGGTTCAAAACACAGGTTCTTGACCTGGCCGGTGGTGGTTAATAAATCGTTTCATAGGGAATTAAAGATAACTTGGAAGAACTTTTTTCAAAGTTGGGAAACTGAAATGGAAATAGTAGAGGGAACAGTTTTCACAAGCGTCTGCGGTAAAAGAGAACATAATCCATTTTGAGAGACTGAGACGACAGTAGGGAAGCCAGACCAGGGGGAGGGTGTATGTAAATAAAATGGAGATAGATGTATGAAGGGGCAAAACCACGTAAGAATATTCTTTATGGAGCATGAAATCGCTGTGCTATGGTGAAAAGCCACAGAAGAAGTCGGTGGAAGGAAGCACCATTCTGTGAGCTAGGAGCCTGGACTGCAACAAAAGGGGAAGGTTGAGCGCGAATCTGCACCAAACTTCCTCGCTACAGAAGTGAGGTGTGATCAGGCTGCCATGGTTTCCCTGCCGGTGTGGACTGTGCTCTCAAACTGTGAGTCTAAGTGAACTCTTTCTCCTTGAACTTGGTTTTGGCAGGAATTTTGTCACCCCAATGAGAAATGTAAATAATATATTTCAAATTGCAGTCTTACAGCAGTAAGATCCACTGACATTTCTAAGGAGAGAGTTGAGCCTCAGCAATGTATTACCTCTCAAGAAGGTTGGCCCTGCCTGCCCAACTCTTTTTCCCAAAGCCTGATCACTGTAACTGAACAGTTCTACAGAAAAGAAAAACAATGGGAGGGTTCCATCTAACACATTAGTGTTGGGAAAGGATGAGAAGGGCCCATGAGACCGATGTATGTTACTTTCAGAACTCATGAGTAGTAGTGGTTTATTATGCTGCATTATTAACCGAAAGGAAAGAAGTGTTTAGCTCCCCAAATAGAGGAGCTAACTCTAAACATCTGCTTCTCATTGTTTTATAATAATATTATAAGCTATATAGTTTGTAGTTGATGCACATATAAGCCTAATTAGCATCTTAATAAGCCTAATTCATATACTGAATCAGAAGTTTCACTGCCAGATATTTAGAACCTAATCATGATATACTCAGTTGTTACTCACAAATATTTATAATGTAAATTTAGATTAAGGAGGGGATCAATGTAATAATCATATAAATTTATAGAAAAAAATCACAAGACCTCTCTATCTCTTTTGCATTGTGTACATTGAAATTAGACTTCTCTATCTATTTCAATAATTTTGGAATAATGTATATGTTCAAATATTCATATCCTCAACAGACTAGGATGTGGGCTGTGTTATCACACTGAACATGATATTTAGTGACTTACATAGTGGCTAGAAAACAGTAAATCAATAGTCATTGAATTAAGGAGTAGCTGGATGGGATGGACAGTTATATTTTCAATAGAAATAATTTTCTTCACTTTCTAAGGTACTTGAAACTAAGTACAAATGACTCATTTATTTCACATATACTGCCCTCCAACACGCACTCTTTTCCACAAATCAAACTCTTTTGTTTAGGAGTGGGGTTTGTGCTTGCTTCTCCCAGCTGAGATTTCATATACTTTGAACTTCTGCAGGTCTTGAGAACACTGCCCAACCCCCTAACCAAGAAGGTGTTTCCAATTGACAGCTGCTAGGAGACTAAGACACACGCAGGGCAGGCCACACATGCAAGAATAGTCAGTTGGCCAACAGAAAAGGAACTCTGTTGTTGTTGCTGTTGTTATTGTATGTGTGTTTATGAGTTGTTTTATTTATTTATTTTTTGATAAACATGATCTGAGGTGGGGTGGGATTAGGGAATCTGGAGTTTGGTGAGGAGAAAGAATATGATATTAAAGAATATACTGCATAATTAAGCAAGTTGTTTGCTTTTTTTCTTCAAATTATACCTCTCCAAATATTAATAGATGCATTTCTCAATGGACTTCTTATCCTTTCATTTTTTAAAAGCTTGGTCTGTATCAGGCATAGTGCTGGCAGCTGCTTCCACAGTTTCCAAGGTGGGATGTATGAAGATCAGATGTGGAAACCCACTGTCTTGACTGCCAGGGGAGATTTCTAGACACAGAGGATGTTTGGCAGTGAAAATGGCTTTCTGCCTTTTTTGTGTCCTAGAAAGAAATTCAGAGAAGGAGGTGGCAATAAGTATTCCACTGAAATATGTTTTAAAGATTATGTGCAAGAAAAACTGCTAACCTAGCCATGGTGTAGTTATAAATAAGGAGTCCTGGATAACTCTTACCAAGAACACATGTTTGGATCAATGTCTTGTTACATAAAACATAAATTGCTGGAAAGGTATCCTAGCCAGAAGATTCACTAACTGGCAGCTACTATTATAAAAACAGCAATAGTTTAAAATGTTTCATTTGGTACAGTATTTGTGTTACTCTTGCTGTTTATGGATACAGAGTTGGTCATTTCCATGAGACAGAAGACAGACCTCTCTCATCTATTTGAAAGGTCAGCTGTGTGCCATCTTGGTATCCTTATCAGCCCACACAATAGGTAAGTAAATTCACATTGTGAGAGCCTTTCCTAGGTTCCATATGTCATCACATTGTATCCTTATGAAATGTAATGAGTTCTACTTAAAGATATTTAGAGTTAAACTCAGAGATTCTAACTTGCCAATGTCGTACAGTTACTAAATCATAGGGTTAGAATTTTCTCCCAAATCCAATGGGAATTAAAATTTCATGATTAACAACCTTTCTTTCACTTGTAGAATCCAATTCTGAAAGTGACATGAGAACAGAATGTGGACAATTTGGAAAACAGAAGAAAATCAACAAAAGGAAAGAGGAAGATAAGAAAAAACTAGATAATAAATATGATCAAATAGGTCAAAACAAACAAACATAACAGAAGAAAAAAGAGCCAAAGAAAAAGGTCAAGAAACACATTTATACCAAAGATACACATATTCACACACACAGAAATCCCAAAAAACACAAACTCAGAATCCATTATGTATCTACAACCTATAAGGTTGGAGGGAAAAAAAGCCCCCAAAGAACCTCTAAAAATGCTATTGAATTTGTTATGTGTTGGCCATCTACTTCTGAGCATGGAGTCTTGCCTTAAGAGTATATATTGACTCAATATATCGTGAATCTCCTTCGAAGTAAACAAACTTTGAGTTTGCAAGCAGTTATCAATTGAAGATAAGTTCTAGGTTAGGGGTGGGGGCTTGTGTCTACCTTCTCTCTCAGTGGTGGGACCCTATCTGGCCCAGACCTGTGCAAGCCCTGTGCATGCTTCTACAGTCTCTGTGAGTTAATAAGTTTATTGGTCCTGTTGTATTTAGAAGGCTTTTTTCCTTGGTTTCCCCAATCCCCTCTGGCTCTTACAATCTTTCTGACTTACCTTCCAAAGTATTTCCTGAGCCCTGAGTGGGGAAGTGATGGAGACATCCCATTCAGAACTGAGAATTCCCAGGTCTCTCATTCTCTGCACATTGTCCAGCTGTGGGTCTCTCTGTATTTGTTCCCATCTACTGCAGGAGGAAGCTTCTCTCATGAAGGCTGAGTAAGATATTGATCTATGACTATAGCAGAATGTCATTAGGAGTCATTTACGTGCTGAGTTATATTAACAAAACAGTAGTATTTGTCTTTCTACTAGATTGCAGTTTTTTGGCTGTCCAAGCAGTGTGGGGGATGGGTTCCATCTCATGGAGTGGGCCTGATCAGATATTAGTTGATTAGTCCCAGAAACTTTGGCCACAATTGCACTAGCACGTTTTACAGGAAGGTTACCATTATAGACCACAGGGCTTGTAGCTGCGTTAGTGTTTACCTTTTTCCTTTAGTAGCATGCAGAGTACCTTCCAGTACCATAAACACTAATCAGCAGTGGTGAAGGCTCTAGGTAGGCACCAACTCAACTTCTCCATGTTCAATGAGTTATGAAGATATTGCCTTCAGCAATAGGGCCTTGCCATCAGTTTTTGGGGAACAACCAATAGCATTGCCAACAGTGTGTGTTGCTTGGGGGTTCCCATAGGGCTCCCTTTGCTAACAACTTGATTCAATGGAACCCATCCCCTGAACTGTGTTTTCATTTGGTGATGAGCGATGACCAGTTGTGGCTCCATCTTCCCTGTTATTTAGTGATTCTATTTAGATCACTTTAATATATTTATGTATTTTAGGAAGCTTCTTCTGTAGTAGGTTTTCTTATGGTCCCTCAAACGACCCCTAGTTTTGTCTGTCCTTCCCCATATTCTGTCCCTCCTGCCCTTCTTCCCTCCCCCTGCTCATTTCATCATCCTGTCCAGTCTTTTCCCCTGCTTCACATTCATCCATAATCGTCTATTCTATTTCCCTTTCCTAAGAAGATCTTTCCCTTCCACCTAGTCCCTTACTCTATACATAACCTCTGTGGTTTTTTACTCCAGTACTGTGCTGATTTTATTGCTATAGCTCTGTAGTACAATTTGAAATTATGGATGGTGATACTTCTAGCAGTTCTTTGACTAACCAGAATTGCTTCAGCTATCCTGGGTTTATTCTGATTCTTTAAGGAAATGAGAATTGTCTTTTCAAGTTCTGTGAAGAATTGTGTTGGAATTTTCATGGGGATTGTTGTATCTTATTGCTCTAGCTAAGACTTCAAGTAGTATAGTGAATAGGTATGGAGAGAGTGGGTAACTTTGTCTTGTTCCTGATTTTAGTGAAAATGCTCTGAGTCACTCTCTGTTTAGGTTGATGCTGACTATGGGCTTCCTGTAAATTGTCTTTATTATGTTGAAGGAATGAGGACATGTTAGAAGGGTTTTGTTGTGGAGTGGTGGCTGATAGGGTCCATAGGAGGGAGGAAAGCTGAGTCTGTTGTGAAGATTTAAAAGGTACACAGGGAATGAAGGTAGAGAGGGAAGACATGCCCCTGCAGGTTACAGGGCTGGAGATGAGACTAGGGAGTTGGAATAAGAGGGTGGGATTGAGAGTGGACTCACCTCCCTGATTCCCTGGCTGCAGAGTTGGTGGGGTTCTGAAAGAGTGCTGTAGGTGCTGGCACCAAGACGAAGGCCTGTGGTGAGGAAGGCAGGCTGTAAGAGATGCTCCCAGCTCCTGGGAATGGGAGCAGAGAGGAAAGGGAGGCTACAGCAAATGGTCTGCTATAAAGCTGGAGTGACGATTGTGGAATTGGGTAATAAAATACTTTTATGAAAGAATAATCAAATTAAACATATAAACAAAACTGAATAACTAGAAATAAATCGATGATGGTCTCTTCATGCTAAGTTAGCTAATAGAAACAGAGGCATAGTTGCCCTGTCCTTAAAAGTGACCCAGGCTTATAATGAAGAGAATGATTCGGTGTATATTACTCAAAGTCCACACAAATTTGTGTGAAGAACGAACTGTTAATTTGGTATTAGGAAATTCACCATAATAATTTATTTAATTAGCAAATTAAGGGGGAAATTTTATTAATTGTCTGATGACATTAGTACCTTTAAAAAAGCTGACAAAGATCAGCACATCTATTATTTTTTGTTTTTTTATTTATTTAAATTGTTTTTTTTCATTTTACAAACCAACCATAGTTTTTACCTATTCTTAATGAAAACACACAACAGAACGGATTTCATAATTAATGACAAATTAAAAATAACTAAACATAATTAAAAATTAGTGACAGTTGTCTAGATATATTTAAGTTATTGTATTCAAGTTAGTTTAGGAAGATTTTGGGTAATTTTTATTGTGGATATTATTAAAATAATGCTGTGATTTTTACCTTTGTAATATACGAATGACAGTCACCCTGAATACCACAAAGAAAGCATAATATAAATTATCTGGTGGAAATTCAACTAAAAATCCATGTACTTTAATAGGATGAATACCATGAAGTGACTATACATGTATAACGACTATACAGAACAGTAATTTTCTTCTATACTTAATGAATCTAGCACCAAAATTAAAATTTTCACTGAAGAGCAAGTAAATAATATCAATATATAAAATGAGAAAACTTCTTGTGAACTGATATTTCTTGTAGTAATCAGTAACAAAATCCAAAGGTTGATTACAGGGAGCTGCTGAGATGATGTAGTGGGTTAAAAGTTTGCTGTGAAGACTGGTCACCTCAGTTTGACAGCTGAGACTCCCATAAATGTGGAATGAGAGCTTTATCTATAAAGTGGTTCTCTTACTCCACCTGCACACCTACACACACATCCTGCAGACAAAAGTAATATCATTTTAAAAAGAAATTTCAGAAACTGTGTCACTGTGGGAGCTAGGAATCCAAACTCAGGCCCTTAGGCATGCACGGCAGTGCTTTACTGACTGAATGAGCCATTGCTCCTGATTCAACACTCCATTCTATCATGTGTGGATCTATGCAGGTGGGTGTATGTGTTTTTGTAAATCTGGACAAGGCTAAAAATGTGAAAAACTTAATATACATCCAGATAGTGATCAATATTTGTAATATTCATGTTTCTATAAATTTTTTTCCTTAAAGAAGTTTTCCAAATAAAGAACTTGTACAAAGCAAATTCCAAACTGTAACTAAAAAATAGTTAAAATAATAAAGCGTTTCTTTTCAGCCTTATGTAAGTTTTTTTTCCACCTGTGGTTTTAAGGTACAGTCTTGGAGGATACATTTACCTTCACTGCTTTAAAATAATTTTTAAAGAAAACTAAAAATTAGGACCATTTTTATTGTTAAAAGTTTCCAGTTGGCACATATCATAAATGTCAGAATTGGATCACTGCCTTCAATCATTCATAAAAATACCATGTCTCACTGTGTAGTGCTCCCATCTCAATCAATAAACAGAAAATTGAGTCCTAGAATGGAAGGTTTTACCTCTTTTATTGAGGCTAGGAAACTAACAGAAAACAAAACAAAAAATTTAAAAAACCTATGCAAGACTCTGTAAGAGACATGGAGAAAGGGAGGGAGTAAAATCTGCAGCAACCAGAAAATCCTGTGCTGAGTGAGTGTATAGACAGAGGATCTGAACGATTCTGTCAGCTCTATATGGAATCAGCCTCTCCATCTCCTTTGCTGACCCTGGGGAAATTTTCCTTATGTCGTTACTTTTTAGCAGGGAACTTCTTCAGAAGCATTAAGTTCTTTCCTTTCCATTGAATTTGTACTTTGTAAATAATTTTTGCAATTATAATATGATTACATCATTTTGCCCTTTCTTTTCGTCCCTCCAAAACCTCCAATATACCATGTTGTAGATTTCTGAACACTGTAAATACACAGAAGTCTGATTTCAACAGACTCAACTGTTTATTTCAAACAGCAAAGAACACACAGGAAAAGAGGTACCTGTGTGAGGAAAGAGCTGGCTATGACATTTTAATAAGGGTGGAGTGAGGGGTTATTGTTTGAACCATAGGTGGTTAAGTCACTTCCAAAGTCTCCTTTCTTCCAATTGTCTGATTCAAGGAAGGCAGGTTACTTTGTGAGATATGGTATCTTTGCAAACATTCCTTTCTGGGTTGTGGAACAAGGTCATTTGTAGGAATCCTGTCCTATTACAGAAATACTCTATCACCATTCTCCTTGCTCTCTTTCAAATTCTTCCCCTCTTCTTTAATTGTTGCTGTTTTCAAAGGGGCAGAGTTCTTTGTGACCACCAAGACCAGCAGATTAACATCCTCAGGAGCCAAGAAGGTGTTTCCGTTCAACAGAACTCAGTAGTTAGCGTTAGTTCAAATGTTGATAATCTGACCTCAAGTGTGTATTTTAGGCATATGGAAGCCTGGTACAATTTGGAAAAAAAACTCCTGGTGATAATTAACTCAATCCTATGTGCATGACAAAATTTAAGATGTGACTACAGGGAAAGTTTTTGTAAAATACAAGTGACATCTTCCAAAAAGATACATTCTATAAGCTAAAAGAATGAACTCAAGATAAACATGCGTAAGAAGGGTCTGAGTGAGGATAGTGCTATTGGAGGATAGATTGACTTGAGACGAGCAAGCTCAAGACAAGGGTCTAGGAGATACTGTGTAACCTGGCCACACAGATAGAACAAAAGTCAGCAGGCTATCAATGACATCTGTTCCCAGCCTTCTGGGTAGAAAAAAAAAAATTATACATCTCTTCCTTTGAAGAGACAACCCTGCGTGATTAACATCCTTGCATTTCCCTAGTGCTTATCTGTGAGCACAAGAACTTACATGGCTCCTATAGTTGTTCTTGATAATAATGGTGTGGTTGTGGTTGTGGTGTGTTGTGTGTGCCATTTGGATGGTGTCTCTATGAGTGGGATCTTGCCTTCCAGACACTTTTCTGGTCTCCTAGTAATTATGTTTCTCTTTTATGACACTCACAACTTTGCCAATTATATCTGCATCTTCCTTAACTGAAACTTTAAGCTTGTTAACACCCCATTTCTTGACAAACTTCCCATTTTATACCCTTTTGCTCAGCTTCTCTCTCTCTCTCTCTCTCTCTCTCTCTCTCTCTCTCTCTCTCTCTCTCTCTCTCTCGACCTAGAGGAGCAACACACACAGTAAATATGACCTAGCTTTAATATGATCTTACCTTGAGATATCTTCCACCAAACAAGTTAATGTATTGTTCTTATTCAAGTTCTCAGATCAGCAAATGCAGCCAGGTTCTTTGCCAGAGTTAACACAATAATTCAAATCTTTTTATCTCCCTCACTTTGTAAGACTTTTGTGTAAATGTTTTAATCCCCTTCACTCAGTAAAACCTTTGTTTATAGTAAAGCTCCTGCTGATTTTGGAAATTTGGTAGCCTGGAGCAGTGACCTTTTTTCCCCTTTACCTTTTCCCCTTTGAATAGTGACTCCATTCCCCTTCTTCCTTCATTTCTTGTGCATCAGTTATATTAAGATTAACTAATCAAATGAAAGTGTGAGATTGGGCCCCTTCCCTTCTTCAAATAGAATAGAGCCTTTTGCTGAAGAGTGAAGCTCTTACCCTGTTCAGTTTGATGGTGCAGCAATCTCTTTCTTTGAGACCCCAAATTTATTTCTAACAAATGAACATTAGGACAAGTCTGAAGTCTCCTCTGAAAAGCACATTTTTTTTGTACTTTGGTTTTTACTTGTTTCTTTTCAACAACATATCTTACTTAGGGCCTTCCTTTTCAAGTTAATCACCATCATCTGCCCCAAATTCAACCTTTCTCATTTTCTTTACAAATCACTTGCTTTTGTCTTGGATCATATCGTTCTATCTCCTTTTCATTCTTCAAATCACTATGGTTCTTGCCAAATATATCTTGTACTGGTGTTCATAATAGGTAACATACCAAGTCAACAGTTAATTAAGAGATAAAAGGACTTATTGACCTCACATTAAGCCAAATGTGAAGAATTTTTCAAAATTACTTGACTTAAACAATTATTAATATAATAACAATATTTTATTTTATTTTTATCTCTCTCTAATTCTATTTCTTCTTTCAGATATACTTCACTGTTTCTCATAGTAGGAAGATTTTACCCCTAAGTGAATATTTGACAAGGTCTGGGACATACTTGGCTATCACAACTAGAAGAATGCTGCTGGTATCTGGTTTTTAGTAGCCATACCTACTATTAAATGTCCTATAATCTTCAGTAATAACAAATTATCTGGCTTAATACACCGTGGAATGATAATGAGTAGTTGTAGTAGCAATAAGGACTTTACATTTCTTTGTTAGTTGTTCATTGAGGATGGATGTAGCATGAATCTTAAAAGTTTTTATTAATAAAACAAATTTGGAGCCAAGTATTGGGGTGAATGCTGGAAGATCAGAGTAGCAGAACAAGCCACAGCCATCTTACCTTGCCAATACCTCAGCTGATCCTGTTTCCTCAGACTGGAAGCTTCTGTGTCCTCATCCCAGTGGCTCTCAGCTGAACTGCTGCTTGAAGTCTGAAAGCTTAACCAAACAAATGCTTCTAGTTCCTGGTCTTCATGCCTTATATACCTTTCTGCTATCTACCATCACTCCCTGGAATTAAAGGCTTGCTTTCTGGGATTAAAGGTGTGAGTCACCATGCCTGGCTGTTTGCAGTGTGGCCTTGAACTTACAGAGATCCAGAGGAATTTCTACCTCTGGAATG